CAAGGTTATGCAACTTTCCATTGAGTCACAGGTAATTTTCTCCATCACAGCTTCTCTAGTTCCTTTCCTTTTACATTAAAATTGCAAATAGATATCTTTTTTTTGAGATAAAAGTATAGAAATGTATTAGATATCGACACCAAGAGGCTACTTCCCATGTACAAAAAATTTACATTTCAATGAGTATATCTACAATCGCTCCAAAGTCTTCTAAGTTAGATATACTATGACCCAAATAAAGGAGCCAAAGTAGTAGAACCATTTGTCCTTAAGATTAGTGAAAGTCTTCTTAGGTTGTCTCATATATTTTTGGGTCAAAAATCGTAATTTTTATTTTTATTCTCTTTTTATGGTTGAATGAAATTTGTGCACAAATCACTTTGCATAAGAATGCGAAAATATAAAGTAAATTAAAATTGCTATAATAATAATAATAGTTGTTATAACATAAATAGTCAAGGAATTAAATTTTTTTGAATTTCTTTACTCACTGTTTTCATGGCTTTTTGTTATCATTATTACTATCAGTGTTATTTATTCTTTATTGAACAAAATTGGGTATGATAAAATTTTTAGTCTCGTTGTCAAATTTACAACTATGAGACTTGTCTTCTCACTTGCAATCTCAAGAGAATGGAACATTCAATAGCTATATGTGTCTAATGCCCTTCTCTATGAGAATCTTGAAAAGTATTTACACGACCAAACCTCAATTTTTATTGATAAAGACTATTTAGCTTTGTGTGTAAGCATAACAAGTCTTTCTATAGCCTAGAACAAGCTCCACATACTTAGTTTCGAAGACTATTTACCTTTTTAATTAACTATGGCTTTAAATTGTCAAAGACAGGTACACCATTGTTCATTTTCGATAACAGAAGGTGTTAGTTTATGTCTTGGTATATGCGAATGGTATTCTCATTATAGAAATTGTTATGCTTTCCTTTGTTATAAAGAGACTGCAACATGAATTTGCTATCAAGTTACTCAGAACAAAGAAAATGATCATATGTTATCTCAAGGAAAGTATATCTTGGATCTCCTAAAAGAGATAAGAATTGAAGCAATAAAACCATGTTTAAATCCAGTGAGTAGTAGTCTACATTGAAAAAAGTTATCTGAACTCGCTTTGCCTATCTAGAGCTATGTCGTCGAATAGTTGGTTTCTTACAATAGGTAGTCATCACAAGATCTAATAATGAAAAGAGTTTAAAATATCTTGGCAATACATCCTCTTTTAAAACATATTGTGTTCTTTAAACAGTTGATCATCGCTTCACAGATGAGTTTGTAAGTTATTTTAAGTAAGAAATTAATTTTTCTGGCTAGCTTAAAAAAAACAAGCAATTATTATTAGATGGGTCAACTAAAAGAGAGTACAATGAAATTGCAAATATAGCTGCTGGAATGTTATTGATTTAATTTTTATTAAAAGAAACTTTTTGAGTTTTATTATCTTGTGGAGTGACAATTTTTCCATGCTAGGATGAAAGCTAGATTGACTTCTTTTTCGTGAGAGAAGTTGTTGCTACAAAAAGAATCTACTTCTTCAGTATATCAAATTGTAAACATTTCAAGTGAGTTCACTTGTCTTCATTAGGGAAATCGAAGAATTCGTATTTCAAATATAAAACCAGCTCATTGCATGTTGCTGGAGATGCAGAACCAAACACTGATTTTGACTTTAAAACTGTTTGTATGTACTAAATATGTATTATACTTAAAAAGCATAACATAATGCACTATTTTACCTCGATCATTACAGTTGACATGTGAACATTTAAAGTGTCAAATGTATTAGCCACAGTTATGGTGCTGATGTTGTCCGTAAACGTTATTATAGGTTGATTGATATTTGATGGTTAGTCATATTATAAGTATTCAACTGAGTTTGCTTGAAATAAGAGTTGTTTAACATGGAGTTAGTTCAATATAATATTAAATCAATAGCGATCTGTGTAATGTAATGATTTTTAGGTATATGTTATATTTATTTGTAAAAAAATAAATAAAATAAATCTAAAGATATAATTGGTTTAGGAAATAATCAATATGATGAAGAGAATAAATGTATTTATGAATTCGCTAGAAGAAAGCTAAATGGATGGAGGTTGTAGCACCTTTAAACGCACACAACACAAGTTTTAAGAAAGGCCACCATTATATGTTACCTTGTATTTTGTTTTCTTTCTTAACAAGTGTTTCGCTTGCTAAAAAAACACTTGTTAAGAAGATATTGATGTGATTTCAAGAAGAAGATAGCAAAAAGGAATCCACAAAAATAAAAATATCTCTTCTTCCTATTGGAAAGATTATATTTTTAAAAAGCACATGAATTTTAGACACCTTTGAGATTCTTTATAAGGAAAACATTATGTGATATTGGGCCTAAATATGGTTTATACACATTCAAAATCTAACAGTAGATTGATTTTAAAATAATATTTAAATGTAAGATCATAATAAATATCTCAATATATTTTACTTTATTATTAAAAAAATTCTAAAACTTCATCATGTGTTCCAAAAGATATTTACATCGAGCATCATAAACCCAGCAATTTCTACACTCAAACTAACAATCCATCAAATTCAAGTAATTAATTAATACATTTAATTCACTAAAAAAAATTTATACGATAATAAAATACTACTTCTTAATAAGAATATATATACAGCACAATATAAGACTCAAACTCAAAACTGAAAAATCTATGAAGAGGAGTAAAAATAATAACTACAAAGTATGACTTAAAAAAGAATAATGACCCCCCATTAAAGTTATAACATGTTAATTATTTGAAGAGTGTGAATTTGAGGTCTTTAATCAAGAAGCGCATATCGTCCATTTGAAACCAACAAGAACAGTAAAAATAAATAATAAAATACATAACATTCAAATAAACAGAATCCTAAATCACAGTGAATATCTACCCAAAACAGAAACGCTATTATTATTCATTTTTTGTTAAAGAATTTCTCTCTCTCTCTCTCTCTCTCTCTATATATATATATATATATATATATATACATAGTCAATTATATTGGGTGGTTTTTGTCCTTAGTACTAACAGAATCGATCTTTATTAATTTTATATATTTAACCCACTGCATTGTTGTTCTTTATTCTATTTCCACTTAATTTCTATACCTAATTTTCATATTAGTTTAACATAGAGAATTAAAACATGTTTTGTACTTGATCTCACCTTTTATCTCCACCCTGAATTATTTTTTAACTTCTGCCGAAGAATTCAAGATAGGGTAAGGTGAAATTAAATACCCAAATCATATTTTAATTCTTTATGTGAAAACTAACATAAACTTAGGTATAAGAATTATGTAGGAATGAAATATAAATTGGATCGTAGGCAAACTAACTTAGATGAACCACGAGAGAAGTAATTATCTCCTAATTTGATGATCCTGCTCAAAGTAGACATATGCCTCCATCTACTCATACTGCTGATGTTTCTTCAATATAATAACCAAAAATTAAAGCTCTCCTGCACATAGCCACAGCATTCATTGGATTACAGTCAGCTCCCACAATCACATATATCTTACATACATACAATCAATGACCTTGTTGTTATAGATAATATCAAGACAAAATCAATAATGGGTTTAGTTTAAATTTCAATTCAATAGAATTAAATTTGAAAAAAAAAAAAAAAAAAAAGTTAAATATTTATTTTGATAAACTACTGTAACAAAATCATCCTAGAAACTGACTGCTATGACTCAAATAGGATATTTCTGCTAAGAAAAAGGAGACCTTTTTTTTTTTTTTTATGGGAAAGTGCATGTATATATTTGTTGATCGGAAATGGTATGAAATATGTGCGGTAGATGGCACGTCAATGTCAAAATGTAAAGTGGATTTGTTTTGTTTTGGTGTCAATCTTATCCTCTCCTACATTTGGTGATGTAAGAAAAGGATGGATGTTGAAACCCACACACTAATAATAATTAAGATGATGTTAAACATATTGAATTATACAAAGTATGTGTCCTTTTTTTACATTTCCAAAGCTTTGACCCAAATCACTTTTTCAAAACTCAATTTTCCTGGCACATTTCAAAATCACACACAAACACAAATACCTGACTCTTAAATCAACATCTAGCAAATGCTACAACAAGTTAACATGCTAATACAGAGATCTTTTTACAAAGATATTTTAGGACTCTTCACTCCATTGTACAAAATTTACTATTTCTTAACTAAATTGCAGAAATAAATCTTTTGAAAAGTTTACCTGACTTGTAAACCAAGTTTAGAGTTATATTTTTTTGGAACTAATTCTACATGAATCACCTAGTGGAATAGAAATAAACTTAGTATTTGGTGCAAAAATTAGTTGGAAAACACTTTTACAACATGAACAAAAAATAATATAACTTTTTACCTTATCAAAACAAATTAATTTTTTTTACCAGAAAATTCCAGAAGAATTTAATTTTTTTTATACCGGTCACAAGTTTAAACTCATACAATCAATTAAAGCTGTAAACATCTAGTAACCACTTAAAGCTACCCTCTCAAATTGGAGAAAAAAAAAAGGGAAAAAAGACATAATTTACTGTGCACAATATCCTTATACATCAACAAATATTTAATGATGCAGTACTTCAAATAAAGGTTTACTCCCAAACAAAATTTATGAACCGAAAGGCTTCATATAAAGGTTGGTACATAAAGTTTATTGATGTGAACTCAAAAAAGATATGAGGCTAGCTATTCAAGATAAGCCGATGTGACAAAATACATGAAGAAGATATAGACAGAGGGAATACTATCTTTGGAGATAGGGTTCACAACCAAAGACAAAACTTGTTAGGTTTTTCAACAATAATGAAGATTCTAGGAAAAAGAAAACATTTAAAACTGAATGGGAAAATTGCCGTGAGATAGAGAAGCCAATTTGGACTTTCGTAAAGCTCAAGACAGCAGGAATTTTGGCCCTCAGGAAGATTCACATGCATGATTGAAAATTGAGTAAAGAAGATGGAGACCCACAAATAGTATCTTTAAATAAAAAATAAGAAAAAGAAAAAGGGAGATCATACACAAATTTTGAATTGAATATTTCCCCAGTAAACATCAACCTTCACTTGGTGCATGTATATCAACTAGATAATATTATACGTAAAGGCACAATTCCAATTTTCCTAATTAAACTGGAAGATATGCAGATTATCATAGAGAATTTTAAATTAAACACTATAAAGTCTGATTTTCTAACTTTTGAATGCAATATGAAATGCCTTTTTTTGTCTCTTTTTGTGTGTGTGTGCCTTTTTTGTCAGGGTATGCCTCTCTTAACCCACAATCGAATGTCCTCAATTTTGTGGCTGCTTCGTGGAAAATGAAAGTCAGACTCCTGGCCTCAATTTTGTGGCAAGGGACACATGTATAATAGAAAGAATCTTGGGAAAGTTATAGACCAATATAATGCTTTTCTTTTCTTTCACTTGTTTCTCTAATATTAGAAGGAATTGAATATCTGACCTATAACTTCTGCATTGCCAATTTGAGTGATGTTCAGGATTCATTAGTGTCTCCTCCTGCACCCTTGTGCTTGATCTCTAGGTGAGTTCAATCTATAAAGAGCAGTAAGCATACTAAAGCGAAGATCAGAACGGCAAAGTTAGGCAAGACCTGCAATATCATTGAAAACCCATAACATAATATTAAAAAAATTTCAAGTAATGGAAAGTACTTTTTGATGTAGTTATAATATACATTTTATATGTAACCTAAAAGTGTGCATTTCTTACATTTATACTGGATGCATATGCTAACTCTGGAAGATAACCCTGCAATCCTATGTTGTATACTGGGGTACCGTCAGGATAATAGAGGCCATAGTTCCTCTCTGAGGCAGGACCAGGCTTTAAATTTTCGTTAAAAAGTGCAAAAACATGTATGTCAACGGGTACTGCTGGTCTTGCAGGAGTGCCTTGCCTTTCTTCTATTCTGCGCAACAGATTTCCGTTATATAGACCTGCATTTTCTGGTGTTGCACCAGCCTCATTAGAATCTCCGCGAGATGGCCATCCAGTCTCCGAAATTCTTACATCAATATCCGTATGCCCCATAGCTTTTATTGCAGAATAAACAGCATCAATCTGAGCATACAACATGTTATCATAGTGCAGATTGGTATTTGGATCTGTAGTCCCTTGGTTAGGTTGGAAAAGGACATAGTCTAGCGACACCTCATTTGGGTTTTCCTTGTATGCAAAGTAGGGATATGCATTGATCAAGAATGGGGAATTGATCTGTGAATGAAAATTGAGAAGTGGCTGCAGATATTCAGCAAGATCTGACCTAAAAGCACCAGCAGAAGGAGGGTAGGAGTTACTTAGGATGGTAAGGGAGTGGGCGGTTGTGACGGTAACTTGTCTTTGAAGTCCAAGATTAACAAGAGCACCATAGACAGTTTGCATTGCAGGTAAAAGATTCCGGACCAAATTGGAGTCACTGCTATTGAACACTTCATTTCCTACAGTTATACAGGTTATTTTGGTTTGGGGAAGGTGGGGCTGAACCCTCTGTTGAATCCAATTTTGAGCTTTGATAGGATCAGTCATGTTTTCAAGGTACTCATTGCCTAGTCCTATGATGAAATCAACATTTGAATTGGAGAATGCATAAAGGACATCAGGATCTGCATCGTACAGTTTCACTCTGCTGATATTCAGTGATTGAAGGAGGATGGCGACCCTAGAAGGAGATGGAAGATTGTTTGCAATCTGACCATAATTTATTCCAACACCAGCCCCATCAATTTCAGCTGAATCTGGAATTTCAAAATACAACAAACGGAAATTCTTTTTTCTTAAAAAAAGAAAGTATACGTTCTGAGCATCATTTCTTATATATATATGTATTAAACGAATTATAGTCCAAAATCCAAAAATATTTACAGTAAGATATGATCAAAATGACATCCAAACAAACAATTATATTAAAACTGTCAAGATCTCTAAAGATTTACAATAAGATTTAGTTTGATAATAATAAATTGAATGATTTAGCAACTTATGATCGGTTGATATCTGGTGGAAAACTCAGAGCTAAATTTTTTTAAATGCAATCAAATAATCAATCAAATCTCCATTGTTCCATTGTTTTGAAACTCTGAGCTCTCCAAACTTCACTTATTCACCGGAAAAAAAAAAAGAATATTACGGTAGAATCCCACGGACGGGTCGCTAATAAAGGATATGCAGAACTCAAAAGGGAAACAGTTAACTCTCCCTTTCACTTTCAAGCAGTTTCTCGGAAAACAAACAGAAAATGAGAAGAAAGAAAAAGATCGCTGAGAATTGAAGAAAGTAAAGTACCTGAAAAAATGATGAGAAGCAGGAGGAGTAGTCTGCAGAGGATGAAGTAGGCGGCCATGAGAGATCCGGTTGTGGCCGAACAACACCCCCAAGCAAATGACTACTGTTTGCCACCTAACAATCTCTCAGTCCCTCCATTAATATTTATACTCTCTCTCCTTCCCTCTGGTTTCTCTATACCGGCTCTGTGCTTTTTGGTTGACAAAAGATGACGAGGATCCACTCATCTTCTGTGTGAATGTGTTTTTTTTTAATAATTATTATTTTTTTCTCTGATTCGTTTTAGTAATTCGTGTAATAAAAATTGTTTTCTTTTTTTTTAAAAAAAAATTATTAGTTAATATTAAATGAAAATTTTATTAACTCTTTTTTTTTAAAAAAAAGAAAAAAAGTTTCTTCGAAAGTGGAAAAGAAGTACATGTTCATGTAACAATATTACATTTATGGCAATGAAAATATGATAATATAGCAACTAATTTTATATAAAATAATATCTCTTTATGAATATTTAATTATTATCGGTTTATTCTTCTTATTATTTGGATTTTTAAGTAGGCATAATGAGTCATCAATTTTTCGATATTTCAATAATTGTTTCATTATTTTTTAAGTTTAGGTAAAAAAAAAAGGATTTATTTATTAATATAATATTTATACGATCTAAATTATAAGTCATTATAATATTCTCAATTAAATCAAGCTTATTGTAGTCATAACACAAGTAAAAAACGTGTAATGCAAAAAATATTATCTTTATACATACAAGTAAAACTAAAATAATGGGTCACAAGTAATATATATATCTAATATAAAAAAACCAGCAAAGATATTTTGCTTGTCTTGAAAAAAAATGAAGGAAGAAGCGAGAAGAAGAGAACATGAGGAGACCACTTAATTTTGACCAAAGCAATGGTCGGCAACTGCCAATAGGTATTTCTCCAATTTGCGTAGGCACAAACAAGCCTCTACCAATTCGAAGAAAACCACATGGTCACTAAAGAAGGAGATGAGCCATTATACCAGGTTTTGAAGCAAAATTCTAGCCAATTTGGACATTTCCTTTATTAGAACTTGCATGCCCCAAATTGTGATTTTGCAAGCTATGTTCTTTATATCAGTAGAAAGTCATGCAGTGGTAGCTAATGAGAGATGAGAAATAGGTACAGGTGTGGCTTTTCAACCTCGATCAACTAACTTGCACTAAGTCAGGGGGATTGGTAAGCACTGACGAACTCCCTTGTGGTTTTGCCCTTTAGGCATCTTTAACTAGACTTCTAGTGAGGTGGTAGATGGAAATTGGCACCATGTGTTTGATGTTTAAAATTTTTTAGCCTTAATTCTTCCATTTAATAATTTCAAGAAAAATTCTTCAACACATGATGACGAGAATAAATAGGAGGTGGACCACAACTTATAATTGTGTTATACTTAGCTACATTAAATATAACTAACAAGTTAAGTATGGGGGAGTAGTACAAGGACGATGGAAGAAAAATGTTATGAAAGTTTTTTTTAATAATTGTATGGCATTTTTTATAGATTCTTTTAGTTTTTGTCTCCATTGCGAACAATTCTTGGATTAAGTTAAGGGAGTAAAAAAAATCAATTAGTTATCTAAATTTATATTTGAGGTCAAAATTTAAATCAATTTTTCAATTTTTTAATCGTTTTTTTTCTTTTATATTTAGTTACAGGTTATTTGATTTACTGTATAAGTCGAATAGTTGATTGATTCATTTTATTGATTTTGAAAATAGAGAATTATGTTTTAAGTCTGAATATTTAAATCACTTTACTGATTTGGTATCAATTATGCATTTCTATTTGTGAGTTAATAACTAGGACTATCTATTGTTATGTGAATCCCAAAAAAGCATATGTGGATTTTAAAAATTACATGAGCTCACCAAATTCTAGAACCAATATGATTTGAACTTGAAGCAAAACAAAAGACTTCTTTATATTAGGGAAACGACATAAACCATTAGACCCCAAATTATATATATACTTGGGCTACTACCAAAAAAATAAGAGGTAAAATAGTTGAAAGAATAGAAGTCTCTTGTCTTGTACGAATCTTATCAAGAAAAAATGAGAAAACGAAAAAGTAAAAAAGTTATGATAATGTAAGTCTCTAACTTATACAAATATTCTCTCAAGAAATAAATAGAATAGGTAAAGTGTTACAAACATAGAAATTTCCTTATTAGTACAGATCTTCTAAGGGTTAAAATCGACTTTGGGTTAACATGAGCCATTTATGTTTTCAATATGAAAGTTCTACAATAAGCGAAAAGTGATGAGAAAAGAAGGTTACAGAATTTACAAAAAGTTTCAAGCACGCATTTAGGGAGATCTAGTAAGATTTTTTATGCGGGAGGGACTTGGAAGAATTATAATAGTCCTGGAACCTCACACCATTAATGATCAGAAGATTTTAACTACCTAATTCACCCTCCTTACTTGAAACTATACCCACCAATGTGGAATGCATTAATCAAGATAATTAAAAAATTAAAAAAAAAAAGGAATAGCGTCACAGCTTACTCGATAAGTCAATCATAATTTATTGACTCAACAAGACTTTTGAAAACTTTCTAACTTGAAGGACTTGAAGAATACTTATAAAACTAGCCAAGCTAATTTCAAATAAAACAAAAGCTTTAAATTTTATTGAATTGTTGAATTCTGTTAACAAGATAAGGACTGAAGTTCTTTTATAAACTTTTATTTTCTAATCAGAATTAAAATAAAAAACATAATGCAAACCTAATTCTTAATAAGATTTAAATTAGAAAAATTGAATATAAACAATTAAAATTATTCTAATCTTAATTCAAATAGGATAAAAATAATGAAAAACATGTCTTCTTTTCTTGATCGAATTCATGCTCCTCCTCGGGTTGGATTTCCTATATGTATTCGGATTGTTTTTCTTTTTCTTTTAGCTTGTAGTCTCTAACTAAAAAGAGGACTTTGCTGCAGTATTGGAGTTGCAAAGGAAGAAGGAAAACTTCTTCCACTTTGGTGTTGGACTCACTTAAGCGCTCTCCTCCTCTTTCCTCTCGACTTTTTGATCTTTTAAGGAAAAAAATCTTCTTGGTTGTTTGTTCTTCTACTTGGACCTCTTGGTTCATCTTCTAATCGACTATGGAAGATGTTGTTTCCTCCTTCGAGTTGGATTACTCAAGAACATGCCTCCTTGAGCAGCCAGACCTCATCATGCTTGTTTTTTCTCAGCCATGGTGGCCATGGCTTAGGATCAGGCTTGGCCAAGTCTTGATCCTTTCTTTGGGTTGTTACTACCCTTCTTCTTGATTGTTCAAAACAGATATGGGGCTTACACACCTTGGTTCTCCCCAGTTTGGGATTGACAAGCCTCTTTTGGGTCGTATCTTAGAATCAAGGCCCATAGACCTTCAGTCTTCGGGCTTTAACCCCTTTGACCGATTATCTTGGGCTTCCTTGGGCGGTTCTTAGGTTTGGAATATCCGTTGGACTTCAATGAGGCACCGATCAGCTGTAATTTAGCCCACAAGCTCGCAAGAATCTTTTCGTGGGTACGAAATTTTTCTTGCGCAGGAGAGGGATTTTGCATGGGCGTAAGCATACGCCTCTTCGAGGGCAGTGTGTGCGCGCACCCTTATTGTGTGCATGCCTCTATCATGGGCACACACATGCTTTGTCATGTGAGTGTGGGTTGTTTGGCGTATGGGGCGCGCACGTTTTTTTATATGCGTTCTTGCAGGTTCACAGACAATATTCCTGCGGGTACTTTGAGTCTCATAGGTATCCTGCTCACTTTGGTATTTTTCCTCAGATATTATTCCAAGACTACTAGACATCACATCAATTTTTGTTTATATAAGCAAATTAGGAATATATTAGTTAAATATAAAAGTTTATTTACTTGCATGCTGAAAAAGTCGTAATCGAGATTGTAATAAGATAAAAATATCTAAAACATACATGATTTAAAATTTTCTTTATTGATCAAGCTAAGTTTGGTGGATTTATTGAATTAGGGTCTTAGGTTGTATTCTAGTAAATTTTTACTTTATGTTCACTCTTTGCTTTTGTTCATCTCTTTTATTATGTTGGGGGGAGTTTGATTAGTTAATTTTATATCAACTAATTTAGTACTTGAAGATTTAAGGTCTGTTTTAATGATGGTTCAGTGAATATGGTATGCTTTTTTCATAGTTTTTTTTTTTGTTTGCATTTCCAAACATATTGTACGGTTTTTTACTAGTTAAATTATGGTCCTCAATACCATAATTTTTTTCATTTTTTCAAACTACAGATTCGGTGGTTTTATGATGGTTCAATTATTTTCCTCATTATATCTTTAAGATTTTTTCTTATTTATTAAATGACCCTTGCTTCCACTCCAACTTGCAACTTTCCAATTTTTTGTTTTTTATTTTCTCTCACAGATTCTCTCTCTCTCTCTGGGCATTTTCCTGCATGCAAACATTACCATGATTGTAATATTTTTATTTTATGTATGTATATAATATATTTACTTGTATATACATATATATATATCTTTAATTATATATATTATATATGTATATATTTAATTAGATATATTTATATATCTTTATATTTAATACTACATATTTTTTTAATCTTTTCTCTTTTTATTTTTTATTTATTACTATAAACAATAAAGTATTGACAAAATAAATAATTTGCTCAAATATACAATCATATCATATTGTAAATCCACACCAAAATAGCTGTCACTACCAGATATTAATAGACTATTATCCAAACATAATTAAATTTGAATATTAATGAATTTTACACATATCAAACCATACCCAACATTAATGAACTATTATACAAATCATCCAATAAGACCCTTAATATTTACTAGCTCATATGGTACTTTTACTGGAACTCATCATATTTTAATTACCTTATAGTTTTAAAAGAAATCAAGAAGTTTTGAAGTTCAAGGAAAAAAACAAGCAACTGCACGAAACAGGGTTGAGGCCACAACCTCATAATCTGAAGCTACAACTTTAAGGTGGCAAAAGCCTCGCACTACGGCACTGGAGCTGAGGTTGTGGTGCCAAGAGTCAACATAAAATAGAGAGTTACGACCACAATGCCTTATCAGTGTCATACAATGCCAATAATCAAGAGGAAAAAGTGCAAAACAGGAATCTTCCCCTTTTGCCCTAAATTAGGAGCCTATGAAAATAACTT